CCCCCAAGAGCAAATTCGAAAGAACGCCTAAACAAATTTGATGAAAAAAATATTCCTAAGTGCCAAAACTTGTGATGATATAAATGATGAGCTTTCTGCTTTCCAGAAAATCATAAATACAAATATGATTAATGCTATTGTACAATATACAAATATTTATCTCAAACGTAACAGGACTGCAGATGATCTCCAAAACATCTGAAAGAGAAGCATGTATGATACTAATAGAGCAGAAATATTAGCCTTTTTAGGAATTTTATTCTTATTAGGGTGAAAAGAAAAATGTCAAAACTCAATTTGGAGGAAGCATCGGCAAAAGACGGTACTGGAATTGAAATTTTGCAAGGGGTCATGGGTCTCAAGCGATTCGGAAACTTGTGTGCTGCTATTAGATTCGATGATAAAGGCACAAGGTATGTGCGAAGAAAAACTGATAAATTTACTGCACTACGAGAATTTATTGAATCTTTCAATCAGAACCGTCAAAACTTTTATACACCAGGTGACGAACTCACAATCGACGAGAAGTTGGAACCCTTTTGCGGGAGATGCTCTTTTATTCAATTCAATCCCAACAATCCCGCAAAGTACCTTCTGAAAATTTTTGCAGTTGTTGACTCACGAACGTTTTATGCATTGAAGCTTGAAATTTATTGTGACAATCAACCTTCAAGACCTTCAAGATCAACTATGTAGTAATTTCACTGTCGCCCGAAAAACCAAGAGGTGGAGAATGGCAATATTTTTTACACTCCTAAAAGTAGCGGGCATAAATTCACAAGTGCTCCTGAACTTAGCCAAACCTGATGCAACCATCAAATTTAGAAGATATTTTTTGAAAAATCTAGTTACATTTTTGATGAAACCACATCTTCAGTATCGTCTAAAAATGCCATTTCTCCTGTCGCATTCCAAAGCTATTATTAGAAGGCTGGCAACAACAGAAGACGGCCGAAAGGAAAGAGGAGCCACCTGCAAAAAAAGATCAAAGGACGCTGCGCTGAGTGCAGTAGAATGAAAAATAATTATACTACCATAAAATGTTCTGAGTGTTCTAAGTTTACCTGCAAAAATTCATCTTTGCAAGACAGTACAACTTTGAAAACCATGCTGCAGTGAAAAGCGGACAATCTGAAGAGGATTTGAAGTAGGCAAAAGGCTTTTGAATTTTTTTCATTTGTGAAAATTTATTACTTACCGAACTTTTCTTTACAGAATATTTATAATTTGTAAATTTGACTTATGATCTTATAATTTTCATACACAAAATAATACAGAATACTATATAACTTTAAATTACATTTCCAGTGCATTCCATTTTTTGAATTAATTAAAAGTTCGTAATTTCCATCTTTGCTGCGTTTTTTCTGTTATTCATTTTCTTATATCATTTTTACTATGACGAATCACCTTATTAATGCCATGTATAAGATTAAATAGTTTCAAACACGAAGCAGAGGCTTGAAAAACGACCTGGCGTACTACATACGCCGCCCCTCTAAAATTGTACCATATGCCAGCCCCTCCAGCTGAGGGTTAACAGAATTAAAATTGTTTATAAAAGTATTTTATGTTCAAACAAAGAAAATAAAAACTTGCAAATGCTTAATTATATATAAACTAAATTTCTTCATAGTGTGTAGCTAGTACAAAATAGAAGATCTATGAAGTAGAAACAGAAGTTTATCTAGGAAAAGTCATTTTCATCATTTTCAAACATGAAGTAAATTTTTACACACATTTTTGACACTTTTTTTACACTAAAAGAAGAAAATAAAAATACAATTTTATATATCAAGTACTTAGCACTGATAAGAAGTTCATCTGACGAAAAATTCCTTGTTATCCATCAGCACTACTATTACTTTATTGTAGACATGGGTCTTCTAAATACTGAAGAACCAATGAATTTAAAGCTCCTTTCAGCAAATTTTCAAATTATCTTTTAGGTAACTTTCTCTTGCTAGTTATAAAGGAATCAGTGCTCAATAACAGCAAGTTAAAAATATTTTCATTGCATTGTTTTCAACCACATCTTCTTGAATTGTGTTTTCAATATCTTTAAGAATCTCCACAGCATAATTCCTCAGCATGCTTTGTTAATTGCCCTTACAGCAGAAAAGCAGAGGACATCATTTGAGATAAATGTATAAAAAACTCATAGAATGTGGAATAAAATACCTAGCTATACTATGAGCATAGTTTCTGAATTTATTGTTGTTAATTGCGGGGCTGCCTGACACAAATATTAAAATGATATGCTTTTTTTAAAATAAAATTAGCATCTACTTTTACTATGAGGGGAAAAATGGTTATACCATATTTCTGTCAACTGAATAGCCATAATAATTCTTAAATTTGTCCAAGATTGATCCAGATTGTTTTTAAGTAAATTTGAATTTCCCTGCACTCAACTACCTGTTTATCGTGTCTTTGTGCTTGTCACTTTTCTATGGGAAATGTCGCATGTTTCTTATCATGTCACATGTTTCTACCATGAAACCTACCATTGGCTTTACGTAATTACTTGTTTGTATGAACTATGTCATGAAGAACAAATGAAAGTAAGGAATATTTCTCTATTCATTTTGGCTAAATGAAATTCTAATAAGAAAATGATAATAAGAAATCTGCATAATAAGAAAATGATCAGCAATATAATGAAAAAGTTAAAACATCCTATTTCTGTGATAAGTATCTGTTATCATCATGCAAACAAAAGTGCCTGATTCGACCAGAAAGCTAAACTAAAAGACTCCATTTTTCTCTGTTTTTGCTATGGCTGAAGAATATTTTACAACCACAAATATTAGCCACCATAATTCAAACTTTTTATTGCTAAGTACAAAATTATAAATATGCTTATTTATCAGTACTTGAGTTATCCATGAGAAATAGTAAAATTAGTCAAAATAAAATGACTGCAAATCAAATCAAACATTTAGCCTATGAAATGCTTTGACCAAGAATTTCTGCACAAGAGGTTAACAGACATAAGAAAAGCCATTTCTATTTATGGTACGAGGGGGAAGAACATATTGTAGGATCTAGAACATTCACTTTCATATCTCTACTACAAAAATGCTCCATGTTATAAAATTTTATTCCGTATTATAAACAACATGAGCACCTTTTCCAGCAGAAGATGTATCATCTAACAGAGGAGACGTAAAATTGAACTTAGCAAATTCTCTTCAAAATGTCATTGTTGGTATTTTTTTTTCTCTCTTTTTTCATTAAACTTTTCCTTATTTTTTAATGCCATAAATTTTTATTTATTTCCTTTTTCCTGCAGCAGCAGCAGAGCACAGTTTGGGAACCTCTGACTTAAGAATGATACACCAGCATAGACCTTAAGTAAAATGCGATCTTAATTTATACACTAATTAATTTAGCATTAATTTCAAATAAAAATAATATACTATAAATCTAATTTCAATATTGCATTTCTTTCTCTCCCCTCCTTTATTTCATGCGGAATAATGGTTTTCTGCTTTATAAAAATATTCTGAAGTTTTCCAAATGCTTTAAATGTTTATTCTTGGAAGCTCTTGCTTGGAAAAGTAGTCAGTTATTCATGTCTCTTGTCTCTATCAGTAAAAGTTCTTCATCATTTTTATACAAAAAAATTTTCTTATCAGTTATAATTTCTTTATTTCCTCATTCTTCCTTTAAAAACACTTCATCACTACTAGTATATTTACCTTTTTTTATAAATTACATTTTTATGTCTCATATCCAGATGAAGTTTCAATACAAATAACATCATGACATACATTATGTTAGGCCACCTTGAATGTTCTGTTAACCAATTTTTGGTGATAAGACAAGTGAAACAGTACAAAAACATGACAAAATTTCAGAAGAAAGAGATGAAAATCCAAGAGGGCAAGGTCTGATGAATATGGGGTGTGATACAAAACATTCCAACCATACTACTCAATAAATCTTTGTTTGACATTCATCAAAATATGGGGCCAAGCATTATCATGGTGAAAGATAACACCTTGATGATTGGTTCATTCTGGGCAACTTGCTTTGATTTTTGGTTTTCAGCTACCATCTGGAAACAATATTTTTCCAAATTTATTGTCTTATTTAGCGGCAACAATTCGTAATATATTCCTTTGTAGTTTTACAATATACTACACAGTACTTGTTTTGGATGTAGCCCCCATCTTGATGTTATAAAAGGAGGTTCATTTAACTTACTCCATGATCTCTTTCTTGTAACATTATTGTATTCTCATCTCCAGTAATCAGCATTTTCAAAAGAGAAGTTTACTTCTTTTTAGGAAAGAATCACTTGCCGAAACTCAAGAAAGCATATTCTGCTAAGTATGGGTACTAGTACAATGTAGCAGCTTACATATACAATCTTCTTCAAATTGATCATGCTTTGTAGTTTTTGGAATATCCATTCTGTCTAATAGTTCTTGAGCTGCTAAATGCAGATTTTCAGAGATAGTTTCGTTTAATATGCCCTTGTTTACAGAGGATGGTCATCCAGAGTGAGCATCACCATTGAGGCTGAAATTTTTTTGCTTAAATTTCTCAAATCATCTTTGAACTGTATCATCAGAAACAGCACTTTGTCCATATACAGCCTAAATATTAAAAGTGAGCTGAATAACTTTTTTTTAAAAAATAGAATAGAATAATATGACAGAAATGAACTTTTGGGTTGTCCATTCTTAGCACTGCATAGAAACAAAAATTATGCCATAACAGATACCAGAAATATGCAATATAAGCAGAGAAGATCGCATTTAAACATCCTCTTTGGTAATAATTACTCCTTTTCAGCATTAACCAAATGACTAGAAGAAAATGCACATATTTGACAAAACACAAAACTTTCTGGATGGCCCAAACATTCTAGGTTACCAATTCACATCATGGCATACACAACACATTTTAGATTACACATACAGATTCATAGCAGTTTAGAAATAATATATAATTAGTAAAGTTTTATCAAAGAAAAAGAAGAAAATTACCCTTTTAGTCCAGCATGACAAAACTGGAAAGATGCACCACTCTGTCGGCCAAAAGTTAACACATCTTGCCAGTCAAAATCAAAATCAGTATTCTTTCTATGTTTCATGTCATTAATGCATAATGAAGATACTCCTAAAAGCTCAGCCATTTTTTCCAGATTTTCATTTACTTCTAAATCTAAAAATAATGAAATAGAATGTTGAAAATGTAATAATCACAAGCTTACAAACAATTTTCTCACAAAAATTATTCATGGATAATATATAGCTTTAATCAAATTATACATGATAATATTTCGAACAGATCTTTCGAAACATTTGTTAATTTCACATAGTCAAGTTACATTAAGGGAATTTTGAAAACTTTTCATTTTTGAACCAAAACTCTTGATACCATAAAACAGGATATTGTAAAGAAGGAAAGTTTTGCCTATGAAGTAATGGAAATGAGCATTTTAAACATTATGCCAATATTCAAGATATATACGTGAAGAAACATAAAAATGCAAATAAGGAAAGAAGAGCAATGAAGGTTATAGGATTTTACTAAAACAAAATATTTTTGATGCTGTGAATCATGATGAAGCTGTAGAAGAGTGCAAAGAGGAAAATGAAGATGAAACAGTAAAGGTAATCATAGTCACTAGAGTGCAACATCCACTTATTGGACTATTAAAGGTAAACAAAATAAGTTTTAATTTAATGACATCATATTTTGGACAGCATTTTTCAGGATGTCTGAAAAAAAGCAAACATGGCTCTCAAAATAAATAAATAACAACAACAACATATTTCTTTCTCAAACTGGAAAAACTATGCAAATTTTATATTACCTAAAATGAACTTTAGTTTTAAATCATAGAAATACTGTTTGTGGATAAATTACAATTTTATATGGCCATTTTGGATTATCTGTACTTTTCAGCTACCCATCTATAACACTGCATTAAACAGCTCATAGAATTAAATGCTGAAAAACACCAACAGCCAGCTTTGACTCGCACAGCTGAACAACAATGATACTGGTTTAGCTACGTTACCTGACTTCACTTGAAAAAATGCATATTGTGAGAAAAGATAAAGCATGAGTCAAGTAATACTACTTGATGTGGTCAAACAATTTTAAATGCCAGCTTATATAAAGGGCCTAAATTATCAGGTTGATCTAAAAGTAATATACATGGGATGGAAGACACAAACAGGGATTGCATAAATATAATTATTTAGATTAGTACCCTTCATTACCTTCAATTTCAGTCCCTCATTCAAACAGCTTTTGCAACTTCTTTTTGAAAAATTATTTTGGTTTTGCCAATAAGAAAATGCTGCAGTGACCTAAAGAAGTAATAACTAAAGGAGACACTTTTTGAATGCATAGGAGATAAAGTAAGAATTTCGTATAATTTAAGGTTTTGTCAAGTTGCTATTACAATGTGTAATTTAGCATCATTCTGTTGAAAAATCCCATCAGGTCTGTTGATTAATGTAGGTCACATGGAGACTAAAGCCTGTTTCAAATTATTTAACTGATGATAGCAGACATCGGCATTAATGTTAGAGCATCGAAGCAAATCTTTTTCACATCTCATGTCTCAATGTACCATAAAAAAAAAAAAAAAAGTTCTTTCATTTGTGAAGAAGGAAATGCAAATTGATATATGTTGCCAAAAGTTTTCAGCTGTGAGAGCATGTGAAACCCAAACACACAACAAGAAAACTTTCCTATTCATGTCAAATGATATACCAGTGTTCACAGTTCACAATCAAGTCTCTCTGCTATTTTTTTACATATGATATATAGATCTGATTCTATCAACATTTAGGGCCCATCAGCAGCCGAGCAGTAAAGTCGCTGAATACTGGAAGTTCGAATCCCGCAAACGGGCTGGCTGCATAGCCAATTTCATGGTTTTCCTCGTATGTAACATGTATACAAACCAGTTTTCCTTAGAAAGTCTGCCACGAAGGCATCCCTCCCTTTATGCAGATAGCCCTTGAGAAAGAAGAGTAATAAAAGTTACAGGATTTTATTAAAACAAAACATTTTTGATGCTGTGAATCATGATGAAGCTGTAGAAGAGTGCAAAGTTTTTGCCATAATCAAATGAACCAAACCAAACTATCAACATTTACATTTCATTATTTTCTAATCCCTTTAATCAATACTTCCAGAATCATCTTCAAACTTAAAATTTTCACTTCAGTACTACTTAAATCAACCTTGGGACTGACATACACTACTAAAACCTGGGTATACTGAAAAAGCCATCCATCTGCCTTTTGCAATATTTTCAAGTAAAGGAAACTCATAAAGATGATATGCACAATATGCTGCTTATATGACATCATTCTTCTGTCAATAAAGTCAATGAAATGCTAATCCAGCAGAGCTGGAAAAGAAAAGGCTTGAATTGAAAATGATTATTATCTGTAAAAATTTCAGTCACAGAATTATTTTAATATCCATGTGCTTAAATTTTGGCAAGTGAAAGGTTACGTTATTTGGATATGGCAAAACATACAAGAGCTATATGCCTAAGGGGAGGGATGCCTTCATGGGGGCTTTCTAAGAGAAATTGCTTGTATTCATGTTACACATAGGGAAAACCACAAAAAACCATTTGCCTGAGATTAAATCAGATGCAACTTTCAGTATTCAATAGTTTTAACCACTCGGCGACTGGTAGGCCTTTTGGCAAGTAAAAAACACTATATTACTCTCTAACCAGTCAGATATCACATGATAATGATTCTTCTCCTTTGTTTGCCAAATTATGCATACATATTGATTGCAGTCTGATGGTTTGTTTCTTGAATAAAGTGAGAGAAAAATTAAAATACACAGGATCTAAAATTACTTCTAAAATGATATTGGAACTGTTATACTTATTCCCTCATATTCATAACTGGTTAATTTTTAACAATTTAAAGTAAAACCTGACTCATTCCAAATGGAAACTAACCATGAATATGAAAAATCCAATTAATTGTATAAAATCAAATTTTCATTCCGAAGTTAATACCTCTGAGCACAAATTATTCCAAAAATTTCTCAGACTGGCTACCATCTGAGATGGAGCTAATTAAAGTATAGATTTCTTGTTTTCGTATTTTAACAGTTTAAATATTGTTAAATCTTACTATTTTACTTGGAATAAAATTTAATATATAATTTAGTACATACAACAAAATTCTATTAAATAATTCTCATAGCTTTGTCACCTTTATTAAGGCTTTTGACCATCAGACTTCTTCACACTTTATTAGTGTCTTTTAGCAGGAATGTTTCTATTTAATTCAATCCAGCATTTAAGTTAATAGTGTGATATTTTTAATTTATTTTCTATAATGTATAACCATATAAATATTTTAAGCAATAATAAATATTATTCATAACTTACACAATTCTTCTTCAAGTATCTTCAACATGAATGATTTGGCCTTATTTAATGTATCTTCAACTTCTAACTTTTTCTGTCGTTTAGATTCAAATTGTCTGTTATTTAATTTAATATGTTGCAAATTCCTAATTTAATAAAAAGGTAAACATTTACTCAAATGTAAATAAAATATGAGGGAACTTAAATATTTAAAAATCATTAAGATATGAAGTATAATGTATACAAAATGTGGCTGTTTAAAAAAGGAGCCAGTGTGATAAAATAACATAACAAATTTTCACTTTCTGTGTGTTTCTCTTCTGTATCTATACATTGTCACATAGGAGTCCTCCATATTTTTAGAAAGTTCATAGTTTCATCAGTAAATAATTCTAATTAGCAAAATCATTCATCCTTATTTTTTCTTATCAACTGAATGGAAATGAATTCCCTTCAAAATACTCAGCATTTCAGAAAACAGGCAGAAGTTAAATGATAAAATCCAGTGGGTTCAAACACTTAACATTAAGGGTGTTCAAACAACAGAATAAAGTGAGATGTTATAATATCATGTTATTCAGAACTAAGCAATGTTTGCTTCAAATGATATAAAAATGGAAGTGGATTAGTGGGTTAAAACTAGCTTCATTCTGATCTTTAGGTAAATAACTAGCCACATTAAAAATGGCTGCTCCAATTCTGATAAACAAGCAATGGGCAGATTCCTTTTTAAACAGTCACGCCTCATATACAAAAGACAAAAGGAGAAAATACTTACTCCACCCACTCAAAACCTAGCTTCTGAAGCAAAGAAAATACCACTGAAAAGAAATTTTTTTGGGAGGCCGAAGTCTGCAATATTGAATCATTGCTTTGTAAGTTATATGAAATGGCTGTGCATCATTTTAATAGCAAATTAGATTTTATAATAAAAAATAAAGCAAACTGTTTTTTAATAATTTCTATGCATTAAAATAAAGGGAGAGAAAATAAATACATGATGTAACATTTTACAACAAATTAATAATTCCATAACTTTTAAAACAAAGCAAGAGAGTAATACTAAAGTAATACCATGATGTTAATTATTACATTTTTTATGCCATGTATGATCATTGCCAACTTCAAAGATATATATTATTCTTATATTTCAAAGAGATAAATTTTTAAAAAAAAATTAGTTCCTCTAAATGTATTTGTAAAGAATAATTAATTTTTTTTCAATAAATTTAAATTTCTCTGATTCATGGACTGTAAAATGAGTAATTTATGAGTGTGTGTGTATGTGATTATGGCAAAGCCTTGAGGGCTATTTGCCTAAAGGGAGGGATGCCTTTGTGGAGGACTTTCTCGGGAAACTGGCTTGTATACACATTACACATGGGGAAAACCACAAAAACGCAAATGCAGCCAGCCCGTTCGCGGAATTTCGAACCTCGGACCGAACTACTAGTGTTCAGCGACTTTACCACTTGGCTGCTGGTTGGAGTAATTTATGAGCAAGTCTTGAACTATCAGTGACCTAAAATAAAAAATTAATCTAGAATACAATGGCTTATCCTATATTTATTTTTGTTTATCATCTGGTATTTTTGCAATGCAACTTTTTTCAGTTCTGTTTTTATTTCCAAAATTTTCAGTAGGTATGTACACAAAGAACATCATTCACTCTATAAAGTCCTTACTCATCATTTCCATGATTTTTATGAAATAGTTGATAAATATGAAAGGAAAAAGACTTTATGATAATGATGGTTGATGCTTAGTACTCAATTTGTAAAATTTAGATTAGCTTCCAATATAATTGAAAGACATTTCTTTTTTCATTTTCTGGCCTCCCGCACAGCCACTTTTTTAACGAAAATCCGAGGAACTATATAAATTCATGCTAAAAAAATAAGTAACAAATGGTAAAAGAACAGGCACAAACGTGAAAAGAGAAATTAAAACATATTATTTACATATGATGTCGAAGGTTCCATAGCCGAATGCAAATAAGCAATCAAACTTAGCATACAATACAATCTCAGTCACACCACAATGCCAGATCTATGTGTCAGATTGCAAGCAGCAACAGTTCCATGGAATTTAAGATAGCCTAAAGATACCTTTTGAATGATGAAATGTGCTGGAGGGCTGTTGGGATGTTGCAAGTTGGTGCAAGAATATCTGCTGTTAAGAAAGAGCTGAATGTCCATTGAAGTGTTATCAGTAGGCTGCGGTATCATTACCAAAGAAATCAAAACCCACGCAGAAGACATGGGTCTTGATGCTGGAGGATTACCACAACAACAGATTATTGCTTCCTGTTGCTATGTGCAATATATTATAAATCACTAACAAAATGACAGCTGGCACTGTATGTCTCAGCTGGTACAAAATGGCCCATATCCCACCAAACTATAGCATCAACTGCAAGAAGGTAGACTGTATGCCAGGCAACCTATGGTTTGTGTTTCTTTGCCCCCATTGCACAGCATAGTTGAGTTGCGCTCATGAACATTGCAATTAAATACCAGAGCAGTGGGGCCACATACTCTTAATGGATGAGTGTCGATTTAACACCCAGAATGGTTCCCAAAGGGTAATGTTATGGCGAGAGCCAGGGACATGCTGTTGCATGCCAATCATCATCAAAAGAGATCACTGCAGAGGAGGAGGCTTAATTGTATTAGCTGGGATAGCAATAAACGGCTGCATCAACCTCTACAGATTCCTGGTGGTTCCATTACACCCTCCGATATTGTAATGAAATTCTATACCCTCTTGTGTGCCCTTTTATCGCACCAGTGGGTACTGGCGTGATATTTATAGATGACCATGCCTGCACACATATAGCTCGAGTAGTGCAGAGCTATCTGGAGAGTGAAACCATTCTCCATCTGTCATGGCCTGCTAAGTCCCAGACCTGAATCCCACAGAGTATGTGTGGGACATATTGAAACATTGGACAGCAAGTCGCAGTGTGCCTCCAAGCACCCTCCATGAGGTCTGATGTTCATTACTACAGGAATGGACAAAATTGCTACCAGCAATCAATGATACTACTGCCAGCTTGCATTTCAGCTAGAGGGTACCATACCTATTATTAGCATGATGTTTCCAATGAACATTCTTCTGACCCACTTGGTCTTTCATGATGTGATGGTTGTAATACATATATTTTTATGTGTCTTTGCTTTATTGTTTGCTATGTGGTCTATAAATGCCACATCAACCTCTTCGATCAAAATCATGCATAACCATCAAATAGTTTTCGTTTTATTCCACGTTTTGCCTTTGTTGTTAATTTCTAAGCAGCAGTGTATTTAATAAAGAATATATCACTTTTAACATACAGTTTTTAAGTTTAATATGCAAAACATAAATTCACAAGCACTGCTGCTAAAAGCATTGTATGTGAATCACCAGCAACAAAATAGCATAACACATGTCAAGTATTCAGTTTTGTTGAGATAAAAACAGAAATATCTATATAATACAGGAAAAAAAGATAAGGAAGACTATGCTTGCAAGCTTACAATGGATCACCAAGTATAAATTTAAAGAAGCATATAGAAAATAATCTTTGGATTCTATACCAATGCATGATATCATATGACTCACTTGCAAATTTGAATGTCAGGACATGAAACAAAATTAATAAAAATTAATATGATACTGTCATTATGAGCAATTATGTTAAAATACAGCGTTTCTAAAAAACTGCTTGTCATCGTTAGGATATTAATCAGCATATATAATACAAATGTTAAAAACCACACAGTTAAAGCTATGTTAATCTACTCAGTCAAAGGCAGCAAAGACTGCCATTTCAGAATTTTCATCATAACATTTTAAGAAGGTTTGCTGCCGATAGCAACTCAATTCAACCGAAGTGGGGGGAGACTTGTTTGGGCATCACTTGATACCTACCAATCAAAATTTCAGCTATTTTGAACCCAAATTTTTGTTTGACAATTACTTTGGTGATTTGATGTGACCATTTTTCTAAAAATGGAAAAAAAGAAATCGAGTACTGTGTTGTCATTAGTTACTTGTTTTTGATAGGTAATACACTTACTCAGACTAAAACAGGAGTTGGACACAGTGTACAGGGACTCTGCACCATCATTTACTACTGTGAAATTTGGGGCAGCTGAATTTAAACGTGGCCATACTAGTTTAGTTCATTGTCATCCAAAACCACTAAATGGTGCTGACGAGCATCGAATCAAGGTTAGAGAGATAGCAGAGGCTATTGGCAAGTCCAAAGAATATGTTTGCCACATATTGAACCAAGATTTAGATATGCGCAAGCTGGCTGCATGTTGGATGTTGTGTTTACACACTTGGGAACGAAAACGTGTCCGGATAACTTTTGAACTGTTTGTTTGATGTTTCCTTGGACAACAATGGGATTGTCTCAATAGATTATCTTGAAAAGGGAAAACCATTACCGGAGCATACCATGCAACGTTACTTGACAAGCTGAAGGCTAAAATTGAGAAAAAATGGCCACAGTTGCAAAAGAAAACAAAATTGTTGCACCAAGACAATGCTCCATCTCACACTTCAGCAGTTGCAATGGGGAAAATCCATGAATTATGATTTGAACGGCTTGACCACCCACCCTATTCGCCATACCTGGCACTAAGTGGGTGTTTTTTGTTTGTTTGTTTGTTCTCTAAGCTAAAAGAAGCACTTGGAGGAAAAAACATTTTTGTCAAATGAGGAGACTTTACAGAGAAAGATTCATGTTATTTGGGGGGATTAAAAGAATGGCAGCATCACTGGAAAAAATGCATAGACTTACAAGGAGACTATGTCAAAAAATAAAGATAATTTTGGATAAAAGATATCTTTTTGTTTGTTAGGTTGGGAACTTTTCAGATAGCCTACGTGTGTGATACAATATACAGTGAAAATGATTTAATGCGAAACTGAGGGGACTGAAATATTTTTTCATGTTAAAAGAATTTCGTGTTAAAGGATATTGAAAAAAAAAAAGATATCAACAAAATTAAGTTTATTAGAGTGCATTTTATTTAGATAGATATATATGTATATGCATGTATTTAATAAAAATCAATGAAACAAAAACATCAACAAGCACTTTATACAAAATTTTCAAGTTTTTGAAAAACAAAACATTTATTGAATTTTTGGAAAATAATCTGACATTTTTCTTTGGTTTGTCTTTTTAAGCATCAAATTATCAACAAATTATTCGATGTCGTCCATTTTGTTATTCATTTCACCATTGGAATGTGCGTCTAAATAACTAAGCATACTTTTCACAATGTTCCTCATTTCGGATGACGTGGGAACAGGAGCTGCATTATTCACTTCATTTTCGTCGTCGGAATCTGCATCAATGATATTTTTTTAGCTTTGAATAAACTCTAAACTGTCTTTCTCAGCCATAATTGGGGCTGTACACACATTATCATCACCTACTGCGATGAATTCTTCTGATGATACAGTACGACAGTCCAATAATACAGAATTTTTCTCAAACATTTTATTGAGTGTTGGCTCAGTTTCAGTATCCTCCTTTTTCATTTCTTTTGGCACAAACCAAACTCGTTGACTTTTACACACACTGCAATATACTCATCACTGAATTCCAAAGACAACTGATGTGGGATGAGATGTTTTTGTGTGACGTTTGTAGGGGTAGAGGATGAAAGTAGCTTAGATAAACAAAATTGGCTTGTGTCACAGGCTATTCCTAGGTTATTTCAAAGCCAAGTTAGCCTCCTTTTTATGAAACATGTGGAACCACCTCTCTTTCATTTCACAACCCCTCTTAAATCTCGCCTGTGCGACTGGTTTCTTTTGTATTTTGTTCATTCCCAGAAGAGAAATTT